GTTGTGGTTGTGGTTGTTGTGGTTGTGGTTGTTGTGGTTGTGGTTGTGGTTGTGGTTGTGGTTGTTGTTGTTGTTGTTGTTGTTGTTGTTGTTGTTGTTGTTGTTGTTGTTGTTTTGTTGTTTAAGTTTGTTTTGAACAAAAGGGTCTCAAGCACATTTACTAAACAAGCCAAGCCTTTGTGGCTTAAGAGGTGTGCAACAAGGTTTTGACCCGCAAGTTGGTGCATTTCTTCGAGAGCGGAATATACGCTTTAGTTGTTCGATTTGAAGGCTAGAGAGCGCGAGAGAGAGAGAGAGAGAGTGTGTGTGTTTGTTTATATGCATACCAACTGCATGCAGGGGACTTATCAGGACAGACAATGATAGATCGGACCGTCGGGTCGCTTGTGGTCAGCGGTCATGGACAGCTGGTAACACTTGCGTCCCGATCCGATCGGAAGGCGAAAGCTTTTCTGGGCGCTGAGAGGTTCTTTCTCGGTGTGCATGGGAAATCAGGTGTTGGCGACATGCGTAAGCCATACAAACTGAATTGGTGCTGGGGAACAAAGCAGCTCTCAGGCACGAGAACCCGGAGACCCATGAACACACCGCTGAAAGGATGGTAGATATGTGAACCGATTGGATCATATGTTTGTATCTTCAGCATGATCGCAGTTGATGTTTTGCGACACTTTCCAGGACCCACCAATGGATCATTCCTGAGCTGACACGTATTTTACCGAGAAGATGCGGACTTCGGGAACCTTTTCCAACATCTTCCAACTATGGCCGAATTGGGCTGGCTTTAGAGATGAACAGGCAGTAACATGTTGCACAGTTGGGAGAAATCTGCTGTAGCTATACACCCAGTGCTTTCGAGCCTTCTCAAGGTTCCAAGGAATGCAGACACCAAAAGATATACCTGGACCTAGCCCTTCCAATGGGCCTCCAAATGGAGAACTCTATAAGTACTGCAGGCTTCTCCAGCTAGGTGACCACTTGGAAGCAGCTGGTCCGGAAATCATATCCATGAATGTCCGACGCTTTTGATGAATCCACTGCTCCCTGCACAGCCGTGGGGCCTTGATGGGGATGGTCGGGCCTTGGGGGTGTCACCGACTCGAGCGCTCGCGATTCTCCAGGTGAGCGCCGACCTCGAAGTCTGGACGGAAAAAAAGGGGGGCGAGTCGCGCGTCGCGGGCGTTTGGTGGACAGGGATCCTCCATGGTGACTTGGCCTTCGTGTGTTCAGGCCGTCGGAGGCAGTGGATCCTGAAGGTCGAGCCGTGGAGCGCGCGCCATTGGACGTGTTTTGAGGGGTGACTTCATCGATTTTTGGGGGGAAGAAAAGAGCACACACCGAAGTCACAGGTTTGTTTTGTGTTTTTCGTGTGCACAATCCCGGTTTTGTCATGCATGGCATAGCATTCATGTTTGCTCGATGTTTTTGTGAACTGCAGCTTTCCCAGAATTGATTGCTTTGAAGGGAACATCTGCGAACTGACGTGTTGGTGTATGTTCAACCATGGTTTCCTGTCGATCTTCCTGTAGATCTTCCCGCAATCCCTTCAAGATCCTTGCGTGGCGAGCCGTGCGAGCCTTCCCACCGGGACGCCGGACGGGACAGCATGGTTTCCTTGAGCATTCGTTCAATATTGAGGTATATACCTCTAGCATCCTTTAGCTGCTAGAGCTCAAATTAACATTGCTATACATTGCTAAGTTCAGTTTTTCCTCATTCTTTCACCTCACCTTTCGCACTGAATCAGCAAATTGTTGCTCTCACGGTCCGCCGCCGGGGATCTTCACCCCAGCGAATTCGTCCCCGGGGCGGCGAAGCGGTCGCTTCGTCTGGTCGGTGAGGCTCCTCTGGCGAAGTCACCAAGGTCCGTTACAAAAAGACCAATGAGCACCTCGAAGCACCCAGCGGGACCGAAGTGACGGACGAAGCGCATGCTCCCAGCGGAGCAGAGCGTCACTCGATGTGTGAGGTGGTATTGCGCAAAAATTGGTTTCTGCCGAGTGGAGTAGTTCCACTCTATTTGGCTTCCTTGATCAGGTGAAACATGCTACCCCAAAAATCAGGCACTATGTAGTTAAAGAGGATGTAAGTGGGTACTTGGTACGCCGATAAGAGTGTGGGCGCCAGCTTTTGGTAGCCTTGGATTGCTCTACCATCTTTCTATGGCTTATTTGGGTTGGCGCCTTCGCCGGTGGGAGAAACGGTGTTGGTGGAAAGGAGCGAGTTCGTGAGCACTCAGCTGGAAGGACAGCTTCTTGAAAGACTTTAAATTTATCATTTGGTACGCACCTCCCATGTTGAGTAGCACTCACTATAGTCACTCAGTACGGTCTGTAGCGCTTTCCCTGGACTCCCTTGGACTCCAGCGGCGCGGCCGTCGAAGACGCACCGATCTTAAGGATCTTCGCGATGAAGTCAGTGCCTAAGCAGAAGGTTCAGGAGCAGGGCATGCAGGCGAGGCGCGGGCACCTGCGAAGGGCACGGAGTTTTTTCGACACCGAGAAGTGACGTGGAAATGGTCTCGACATCTGCGAGCCCAGGTGTCATCTGTAGGGTGGGGGGCAAGGATTTGGAGGATGGTGGGGTTTAGCAGGATCATGTTATGAGTTATGGGGTATTGAATAGTAGTTTATATATGTTTGTTCACGTTGCTGCCCCTGGCTGTTTGATTCTTCGAGTGATCAGGAACCCAGAAAGTAGCCACAGCCGCCAGCGTTTGGGTTTGATTTTTGGCGTGCTTATGTGTGCTTTCACAGTGGATTGGGCTTCTTCCCACCAGATGGAGTGATATAAGGCCCCTCCGGTGGATTCCTTCTTCTGATTCGAGCAGACTTGGCAGTCTTGGCCTGCAAGACTCATTGGCAAACTTCCCTGGCACTCGAGGCTCCTTCTCCTCTTTGACCGTTTGGGCAGTCTTGGCACTTCCATTTGCTTGGTGCACTAGTTTCGCAAGATCCCACACCGATTGCCAGGTCATCTTGCATGCCCCTGGACCGTCTTGCATTCTCATTGGATCATTGGAACTCCGGTGATCAATTCTGGCTTCAGCCTTCGAGTCGCAGTCTGCACGAGCGAACCGAGCATGCTCTCCGCCCATGGTGACGCCGGGGTCCACCCCTGTGGTGGCACCTTGCATCGCTCCGATGCGGATTGGCCATTTGAAGTTGCTCCAGGAATTGCGTCTTTCCAACTGAGTGGCGTACACCATTTTTCTACACAATATATAGTAATGAATTTTCTTCACAGTCTTCAACTCTGGTCGCAATTTCGATTCTCCGACTCCTTGGACTCTGCATTTTCCTTTGCCGAATCGGTCGACACACCAAGAGTCTTTCTCCTTTTCCAGGCGTTTCATTCAGTTCCTGAAGCTCTGCAATGACACCTGTGTGCCGCTTCTGTTGCACACCTCCAGTCAACGCTTCCAAGCATGAATGTGTGTTTCCTTCTTGTGGATTTGCTCCTTGACACTGCAAAGCTTGATACGCTCCGCATTGAGCTCTTTTGGGTGCTGTGGGGCCTCCTTTACCATGACGGCAACAGCCGTGGGCACCTCTTCTGGGGCGGCTATCTTGCCTATATATCACAAAACACATATAGCCTCTTTCAGGTGCTCGTTCTCCGCTTTTTAGCTGCGATTCTCTTGTGAAAGAACTGCGATGCTTGCCAACATGAACCAGCATATCCTTCCAGCTCGACCTTGCGGCCGTCGTACCCCATCATGTAAGTTCCCTTCTCTAAGTGCTGTCTTTGGCTTCCTTCTTCCGACTTGGCCGATGGCTCTTCCATTGGGCTTGATCCCAATAACATGTTCCTGCCTTCCATGGCATGTTCACCCCAAAAGCCCAGAGTCACTTGTAAAGCGGCCGGGAGTGATGGGCCTGACCCAAGGGAGTGAGGACACAAGGTGTTCTAGTTCAAACCTATCCTTCTTTTCGCCCCAAGGCAAGATAAAGGACATTAAAGGACATATGACGTGGGGAAGTCCAAGTTCCACAAATCACGGTCCAATTGGTCCCAGTCTCGTTGATTCGTATGGAAATCTGTGGTGAAGCGGTGAAAGAAGCTTCATGCGAGGCCTACCTGATGAGGGAGGTGCAGATTCAGATGCAGCTGGCACACCCCTGCAACTCGCACTGCAGTTTCAGTGCTATACCCTTCAGGTTCACCCAGTGTTGGCCTTCAGAAACTGTGGGTGCTCAACTTTACTGTGGTTACTTTAGCATAAACGGGATAAACACCTGGCCTTGTGGCCAGGTGTTTTGCTGGTGTGACAGGGTCACTTGATGAGTTGGATCTGGCAAGTGTAACTTATACAAATTGCCCCAGTGTTTGACCAAGGTTTGAGTGTAATTATGTTGTCCATTCATTGCCAGTTGACTTGTTGTGTGTTCTCAATCTTGCAGAAGGCTGCAATGCATGAGAGGCATAACGCGGTTTGATGCAGGAAATCGACGCAACATGACGCGACCCTTGGTTGCTCCAAATTTCTACTGCAAAGAACTGCTACCATTCCATTCCTTCTATCATTGCTTCATGCCTTTGGAAGGTCAATGCTTTTCAGAGATAGTATTGAAGTACATCCGTTGTAGTTATTCTATAAAAAAAATACCGCTCTGCAAAGAACATGTTTTTGTTTTTAGATGTTTTTTATTGTATATGAATGTGTTGTCTATTCTAAAATAGGGGGACCCCAACCAAGGGTCGTTGCCAGATCTCCCTATTTCAACACACCCATCGTCCACAGATGGTGACCTTGGGCTGATCATGTGGCCGTGGTTCCTACTTTGAGGTGTGGCAAGTTCCTGGAGCATCATCTTCAGCATTTTGGGAGGGAGAATGTAGCACCCGTATAATTACTGTATCTCTCTCTCTCTATATGTATCTATATGTGTAGATATATAGTTAGGGCTCAAAGGATCGCCTAGCTTAGCTAGGAATACTTTTGACCCCAGAGGTTACTACACCTCGACGGGTTTTTTCCTGCGCCATTCCGTGCTCTCCTGCGTGGCACCGCCGTGAGCGTACACGTAGGTCTAAGGCCAGGAAACTCATCCATCGTCTTCGAGTTCGTTCCTCCTGGACACTTTCGTTGGTGCTGCGTGATCGCCTGAACAAGGCCCTGCGGCTTTTGGCTACTCACCACTCTGTGCCTAGGTATCGTGAGCTGGAGGATATGTCATGGAACCAACAAGGACGATGGTCTCAGAAGACACAGAATTCGTGGAAAGGGAATTGGCAGAATGCCAAGTCGAAGCCGGTGGAAAAGCCGACAAACAAGTCAGAAGGTTTTCCAACCTACGATGGAGCAAAGGTCGACTTGGATGCCTTCCCTACTTTTACGCCTGTCTCATTGTCACAGCCAGCATTGGCCAGCTCAGCTTCGGATGGAGATCTCAAAGCCATCTTGAAGACCTACATGCAGCAGAATCCGGGCAAACTACCCAAGGAGCTTACAGAATTGGTCAAGCCGAAGGTGGTGACTGGATCGAGGCAAGCGATGCAGAAGCAGTTGAATTTGGTGAAGAAGCTCGATACCAAACTGCAAAAGAAAACAGATCATCTCGAGAACAAGAAGGCGTCGTGGATTACATGGAAGCAGACACTCAAGGCCTTCTATGCAGCCGAGTTCGAGCGCTACGAGAAGGATGTCAAGGGCCTCCAGGAAGAGATCGACAAGCTGCAGCTGGAAAGAAATGCCGAACAGAAGAAGTTGGACGAAGGGACTTTTCAAGATGTTGCCGATGCCGGCATGAAGGATCAGCTGTCAGACATGGAGGACGATCTCTTTGGCCCGGAAGAGCCTACACAAGTCCCTCCCAAGGTGATGGATGGCATGGCACATATCCTCAATGGAGCGCTTATGGAGCATTTGTCTGCGGAGATCCAAAATGGGATTGCCAAGCACTTCCAGACTATGGCGATGTCACCTCAAATGCCTCATCGCACCAGTGGATTGAGCGAGAGGTTCTCCGAAGAGGTGAAAGAGTCGGAGCCAGGGCAGCCAGCAGCCGGCAATGGCGAGACAATGATCTTGGAGTTGGACAAAGTCCTTCACTTCGAGCAAGACCTCAAGCAACAGCTGCAGTCGGCTTCACAGAGTGTGCTGGAGATGTTCAAGGAGGCGATTGTGGAGGACATGAAGCGATACCAAGGGCATCAAGATCGTATGAAGGAGCTTTTGGAAGATTTGAAGAGTCAAGAAGAGCATCAGAAGTCAAAGATTTTGCCCCGCAGATCAGCCCTACAGCCATTTGGGGCGATGCCAATGCGGCAGAGAT